TCGAGACAGTCCAGTTTAATTCAGGCTGGCCTTGAACTTGTGTCGAGCTGATCTTGAGCATGAACTCTTGATTTTCCTGCTTTGCCTTCCTAGTATTGGGATCACAGGTGTATACCACTGCAACAATGGGAGCTTTTTATTTTTTGAGTTTTTAAAAGCATGTGCCAGTCTTCACACACACACACACAGTGTGTTGTTTGTTTTCGGTCAAGTTTTTTAGTGGGTAGAACTGCATCTGAGCCATACCCCTGTCTTTCAGGGTGTACTGGGTAGGGACAAGTTTGAGCTCTGGTCTGGACTTGGTTGCCATATACCTGGGAGGAGTGGCAAGCAGTAAGTTCCATTTCTGACTTCATTCCTCCACCTGCAAAATGATGCAAGTCCTCAGCCAGTCCAACCTCTTAGCGTTGCCTGCTCTTAGTTGTTTTTTTGTTTCCATTGGGTGCTTAGGGATCTGGTGTGGATACGTTGAGAATTACAACATACTAGACTTGTGTGAAGTTAAACCGCACACACAAAATAAACTTCCTGAAAGAGAATGAGAATGGGCCAATAGGGAAACAGTAGCAAGTGTTTAAGCAACAAATGCAAGTATTTGTTGGTCCAAATGGAAAGGGTCTTTTTGTGATTCTTTAAAGTGTCTCGGCCTTTGCTTTTTCCTACTTAACATTTGATTTATTTTATTTTTGGAGATGGTTTCTGTAGGGAAGCTGGCCAGGAATTCCTAGACCGGCCTTAAACTAAAGGTACTCTTCTACGTCTGGATTCTCCTGCCCCTGATACTAGAGACAACCCAGGACATGTAGGCAAGACAAGTGCCTCTGCCTCCAGAGTGCTGGAATTGAAGGTGTGTGCCTTCAGGCCTGACTTGGAAACTATATATAGATCTGTGATACTCATATATGGCGTACTTGTATAGAGAGCATGGCTCTGCTGGTTACTTTGTATTGAAATTCAATACCCAAGGAATACCTGGGGAAAGATGGCCCAGCGAGGCACCAACACACTTGTACACAAGTCTGAGAAACTATAAATTGCTACCCAGAACCCATGTAAAGGTGGAAGGAGAGATCTGACCCCATAATTGCTCTCTGACCTGTGACACACACATAGTAGTAGATAAATAGCCTCAATTAATGGTGCTTTTTTCCCCTCAGAAAGCACACCAAGCATAGATTTTTTTTATTTTATTTTATTTATTTATTTGTTTGTTTTTGTTTTGGTTTTGGTTTTTTGAGACAGGGTTTCTCTGTAGCTTTGGGGCCTGTCCTAGAACTCGCTCTATAGACCAGGCTGGCCTTGAACTCTTAGATCCGCCTGCCTCTGTTTCCCGAGTGCTGGGATTGAAGGCGTGCCCACCACTGCCCGGCTGTGCAGATGCTGCCTTAATTGTTCTTCTAGTCCTTAGTTTGAAAACTAGCTGACTTCCCCCAAAAAGAAAAGAAAGCTGGCTAAAAATGAATCCTCTAAATCAGTGGTTCCTAACTTTCCTAATACTGCAGGCGTTTAATACAGTGAAACCCCCAACCGTAAAATTATTTTTGTTGCTACTTTGTAATTCTGCTACTGTTATGAATTGTAAATATCTGTGTTTTTCCAGTGGTCTTTGGTGACCCCTGTGAAAAGGTCATTCCACCCTGCCCCCAGAGTTGAGACCCATAGGTTGAGAACCACTGCTCTTAAATATCAGGCATCTCGGTGCATGAAAAAAGTCAAAACACAAGCTAAGCTCACAGAACATGGAAACTCTGGGCTCCACATTGAACAGCAAATCAGTTCTTCCCACTTGACAATTCTGAGCTGTAGCCATGTGTGTCGGTAGCTACTCTACCTTAGAGTCCTAAGCAGGGCAGACACTGGACCCTGCCTCCATGGAGCGTGCATTCCAGTGGTATCTGCATGTGGAAAGGCTAGTGGACACCTCACCAATGTGTTTCTGAAGTCCCCCTCTGTGCGTCTGCAGCATAGTGGAGACTTTAGCCGAGATGGAAAGGGGCATGCCTCTCAGTTGTATGAAATCATCTCCACCCTGCCCTGTGAAGGAGAGGTTGTGATTCACACTCTGAAGTGGGAGGTTAGTGCTCGGGAGTGGACCAGAAAATCACAGGAAAGGCCACCTCTGGCACAGAACTCTACCAAGTAACCTGACTCTGTCTAAATGAGTGTCGTAAAGGAAGAAATATTGAGTACTGTCTGGGCAAACACAATGCTTAGAAAGAAACAACATTCGGTGTACCCAGGTCTACCAAGCCTCTGGTCCTGTGTCTGCAGGCTGGACTCAGGCTAGCAGAGAATGTGAAGGCCTGTCAGGAGTTTCTTTGAGGTACATTGCTGTCCCATGGCTCTGGAGCAGTTAGTGATGTGGGCATTGTCCGTACTAGACTGGGAGGTGCTTCCAGGGTTCTGCGGACAAAGCATGGACTTCCGCCACCACTAGCACCATCTTGGCACCAGGGAACTCCTAGATGGGTTGCCTGTGGGGTTCCAGTGTCTCGTGGGGGTGGGGGTGACACCTAATTTATTTATTGCACGCCTACAGTTTTTTGGGACCCGAGATTGTTGTTTTCCAGTATGGGAGAAGCAGTTGTCAGTTTGGAGGAATAGGGCACCCAGGTGAGGTCTGTGACTGTGCCTTGGGGCCACAGGAAACTGCTAAGTCAACTGGGGTTGAGGTCAGAGGTCACAGTCACTGCCAGATCCATTAGAAACAAAGTGGCAGTCTTCCCTGGAGGGTGAAGCCTGTGCTTGAGGGTTGGGTGCAGAGTCGCTGCCCACCTAGTTCCTGGTGCCATTTGAGATGCCCTTCTAAGTTTCTGAATTTGGGGTAGTAAGTGGTAAGGAGTAGAGTGTGAAGGGACATCCAGAATTACCCAAAAACCGCAGGCCTCTGATCCCAGTGACCTGGGAAACTGAAAGGCATGACTGGGCAATTGAGTGAGGCGGTATCTCTGTGGTAGAGGCCTTGCCTAGCACTTTTGAGGCCCTAGGTTCAATTTCTAGCTTGTCGGAATCAATCTAGAGCTGAGATGTGGCTTAGTGGTAGATGGCAGTCCTGGCATATGCAAGGTCTGACCCCTCAGCATACTGAACATTTCCATCAGTACAGGGTACAGGGCTGTCCTGGTATAGATGAGCTGCAGATCACGTGGACAAAATGGCCTCGGACTAGGTCAGATTCAGTAGGCAGAGGGCGTGGGGGCCGGCTGAAAGCAGTGCTACGTGGAGGCCTGGGCCTGTTCTGTAGTAGTCAGAAGGTTCCTTGAACACTGGGATTTGTGGTGGTACCCTTCAGGAGCTTCTGGGGACCTCTCGGCACTGGTGCAAGCCTCAGGCTAACATCCTAGGAGCCCAGTGCAGAGGTGAGGTCCCTGTGACCTCAGGACTGACTATGTGGGCTACACTAGATTCGTTTTGAATATCCAAGGATCCCCTTTCCTCTGGGAGCAGCTTGAAGGTCTGCCAGCATCAGATGGCCCAGCGTGGCTGGGGCTGAGGGTGCAGGCTGCTGCCCTCCAGAGCTGTGGTGGTGCTCTACCCATTTGTAGTTGTACTTAGAGCATGAGCCCTTCTGGCTACCTACACTGCAGATTGTCTCCAGAACTCAGGTGGGGACTGGGGCGTCATTCAGCTGTGCAGTGCTCGGCAGACAGGCTGAAGGTGCTGGGTGCAATCCCAGCCCCACAGAACACAACCGAAACCTGGGGTTGGATTGGAGAGAATCCCCTCACCTGGGATTTCAGGTCCTTCAGCAGGCGGTGAGGGGCCTACAGATAAAGTGGGCGTGTAATGTCAGTAGATTTTCTGGCTTTTGTTTTTGTTTGTCTTTGAGATGGAGGTCTATCTATATTGCCCTGGCTATTCTGGAACTTGATGGTTGCCAGGCTCGTCTCAAACCCTGCCTCTGTCTCCTGAGCATGCTCCACCACACCTGGCAAATGTCAGTCTACTTGATGGAACTAGAGCATGTTAACAGTTGGGGAATACTTCAGGTTGCCATAAGTGGACTATTGTGGTTCAGATTTCAGCCTTGCTACTCCTCGCTGTGACACCTTGGTCAGGTTACTTCTCTGGCCTCGTGTGTGTGTGTGTGTGTGTGTGTGTGTGTGTGTGTGTGTGTAACAGGGAGGTTAGGTATGCACTGCACAGTAGTGTTTAAGTGAGATGACAATGCACAGCGTTGGGCTGTAATGGCCACAACAAAGGTTCATCAAGAAAACAGGGCCCTAAGAGCGCAAGCAAGGCCTGAGGGACGCCGAGGGCCTGGTTGTGCCCTTGACTGGTTGTGGGCTCTTCGTAGTGCTCTGTGTACCTCAGTTTCCTCATCTGTGGAATGAGATGGGAAGGAGGGAGGAGCTGATAGGCATGGGGTGCCCCGCCTGTGCTGGGCGCTCTCCATAGCTCATATGCCTGGGATCTTTGCCTTAGTAAAGATGGATTTTCCCATTGGTCTCTGTGCCTCAAGTGCTCAGGGCCGCCTAGGTTAGCTGCCACCTGCTGCACGTTTTCTGATCGTAGAGCTGGCCAGGACTTCATAGGCGTCCCAAGCAAAACACTGCACTAAGTGACAGGCATTTGTGGAATGCCCGCACATTTCTGCGGAAGTGACTGGTGAATTCTCTCCCACCTTTATTAAATAGTCTTATCTGAGGCAGGCGTGTTGAAACCTCGCTAGGCAGAGCTGTGTGTAAACACTGGTGCACAGGCCCGGCTCTGGGGCTCCCCAGCCGTGCCCTCCAGCCAGCTGTCTGAGTGGAAGAGCTGGCCTGCTTACAGCTGGGATCCCCGGCTGGTTGGCGGCAGACTTTTCCTTGCCATGCCGAAGCGATGTTTGTGCCCTATGGGACCTTTCTGGATTCCTGACGCCTGGGTGCCTTAACTGTCTCCTGCCTGTGGAAGATTTTCCATGCTGTGGTGCTGTGGGGAAACTCACCCAAATATAGACTGTGGTCAGTGCCTTGGCAAGGGTGGCTTCGGCTCTGCTTTGCCGACCTTGTGCTCTCCAGGTGTCCTGGTAGTCACATTTGGGGGAAGGGTGATATGTGACAGGTGACTTTGGAAGCTGCCTTGATCGAGATTTACAACCCTCTTTTGGACTGAAGCCAGGGTGTGTGCAAGCACGCTACCACTGAGGTATATTCTCGACCTTTTAAAAACTTATTTTTGAAAAAAAATTACTTTTATTTTGTGTGTGCCAGTGTTTCCCTACATATATGTGAGTGCACAACTTGTGTGCCTGGTGCCCAAGGAGGCCAGAAGAGATACCTGACCCCTGGAGCTAGAGTTCCAGATAGTTGTGAGTCACCGTGTGTGTGCTGGAAACTGGTCTCAGGTCCTCTGCAAGAACAGGTAGAGCTCTCAGCCACTGAGACAGCTCTCCGACTCCATGTTTTGTTTTGTCTGTTTTTGTCCCTGTTTTTCTAAACAGGGTCTCACTATGTAGTTGACCTTCTTGGAATTCACTCTGTAGACCAGGCTGACCTCGAACTCATAGAGATTGCCTGCCTCTGTCTGCCATTGGGATTAAAGGTGTGCGCCTCCACTGCCCGACTTGTTTTGTGTTTTAATAATTTAATAATTAAATTAATAATTTAATAATACGGGGTCTCATGTAGCCCAGGCGGGCCTAGAGCTCACTAGGTAGCACAGGTATTGAACTTTTCGTTCTACGTGCTGGGATTAACAGATGTTGTAAATTACCCAGGTCAACCTAGCGCTCACTCTGTAGTCCTGCCAGGCCTGTGCTGCCAGAGCTGGCTGATGCTAATCTACCTTCTTCCAGGGTGCTGAAGTGGGTTCAGAAGGCACACAGGTGTCAAGAAGGTGTACGGCTTTGTGTCCCTCTCGGAAAGTTGTGGCTAGCTCAGGTGTGCTAAAGGACTCCGGGGTCGGTTGCCTGGGGAAGCTGTAGAGCTGCTGAGGGCCAACCCAGCTGCCCAGGGTGAGACTGTGACTCAGCACAATTGGGAGCTGGAGTTCTGTCTGATCGGCGTGTATCATCCCAACACTACGATTCTTGTTCAGTGACTAATGAGCTTGTGCTCCGGTGTCCTCTCCCATACATGTCCCATATAAAACAGGCTCTGTCCCCTTTCCTGCAGGTTTGCCGTCTTGAGATCCATGGCTGTCCTTCCTGGGCTCTGGGGTTCTTTTGCCCATGTCAGCAGAACATTCAGCCCGCGCTGCTTCAGGTAATGCTTGATACCTTGTTCTTAAGAAGTTACCTGGGTAAGCCTGCACCCTGACTGGATCCTGTGATGACAGAGTGGGAGGAACTGGGCGGGGTCGTGGGCCAGTGCGGGAGGGAGAGGAAGCCGTTCTTCAGTCCCCGCCGGTCCCTTAGAGGGGCCACAGCTCTTGATCCTGTTGTTCCCAGGGCTTTAAAACTCCTTATGTGCAAAAAAATATTGCTCTGTATGTGTGAGAAAGAGAGAGAGATTGATTTGGGCATGCAGGTGTCATGGTACACATTTGGACGTCAGAAGACAGCTTGGAAGTTGCTTCCTCCACAGCGTGTGTCTCAGGGATGAGCTCAGGTTGTTGGCTTGGTGGCAGGCGCCTTTATCTGCTGAGCCATCTTTCATTTTTTTTTTTTTATTTTTGAGACAGTTTCTCTGTAAAATAGCCCTAGCTGTCCTGGAACTAGCTCTGTACACCAAGCTGGTTTCATACTCAAAGATCCGCCTGCCTCTGCCTCCCAAGTGCTGGAATTAAAGGTCTGTGCCACCACCACCCAGCCCACCCCAAACTTTTTTAAGAATGAGGTGGGTTTTTTTTCTTTTCTCTTCTTTTCTTTTTCTTTTTCCCAGGACTGTGGATTGAGTCTGGGGTTTCCAACTAACCCTCTCTAACCCTCTTTTTACATTTATTTTGATTTTTGTTGTTTTTGTTTGCTTTATACAATAGATTTCCACTGTAGAGCTGCAGCGGGGCCTGGATATTTCCCTGTAGACCAGGCTGGCCATCTTCCCACTTGTGCCTCCTGAGCGCTCAGGTTGTGAGTGTGCTACCAGCCGCCTGCTTTACCTTTATTTAGAGATGAGATCTCACTAAGTTTCCCAACTCACCTTGAACTTTGGAGCCCACATTGACTTTGAACTTGCTGTCTTCCTGCCTAATCTCCTGTGTAGCCAGGATTGTATTCTTGCAACACAAACTCCGGCACAATTGTTCTTTAATTACAAAATTGTACATTCTTGCCAGTACATGTTTCCTTACCAAACCTAGGTGGCCCCACCCCAACCACTGTGTCTTCCCCTTTGAGATCCCGTGCTGCCCGGCTCTGCTAGTCCTGCAGAGGTGAATAGGAATCGCTTCTAGTGCAGAACGAGAGTAGGGGAAGCAGCTCAGCAGTAGCCTGGTGACCGGAGTGAGTTCCATACCTAGGTCCTGTATGGTGGAAGGAAGGCGCCACCTCTTGTAAGTTGTCCTCTTACCTCCACACGTGTACATGTGCGCACACATACACGAAGTGAATAGAAGTAGTTTTTAAAAATAGCACAATGTGTATAATAGTAGAACAGAGAGAGGTCTGGTGAGCGCTGGTCAGGTCTGAGGAGAGCTGTCAGGAGGGGGAGGTGAGGGCATCTAGAAGAGGGGTTCTGAGGAAGCCCTCACAGAAGCAGCTGTGGGATGGGAGGGGACTGAGAACTCGGGACTCCCGGGTTGGTGGTGTGTGCAGCACACATTGGAGGGAGCTGTGCAGTGGAAAAGTCCAGGCTAAACAGAGGAGCAAGAGGCCCAGAGGTGGAGTCGCTAGCTGGAAGCCATGGGGATAGGCGAGGAGAGAAAAGGTTCTAGGGGACCCTGGGGTTGTGCTAGAGAAAGCCACACTTGGGGTGAACAATGGGAGACAGGAATCCCATGGTAGGAAGACTGGATCTGCTAGTGACAGCATTCTGTTTCTGAAAAGGAGCGGTCTGGGGTAGGGTGCTGCAAGCTGTAGTCCATCCTCCCGCCTTGGGAGGCTAGGTAAGGGATCACTTGCTCTCAGGAGTTTGGGCGATCTAGAAGACCCATCTCCAAAAGCAAGGCAAAGCCCCTTGCTAGCATCAAGAAGTTGTTGCCTGGACAGTGTCTGGTTTCTGTCATGTTGTGTCTGGACTCCCTCAGAATAGAGTCTCCAGGTTCCCAGATTCCAGGAGAGCAGGGAAGGGCTGCACCTGGGGAAGCAGGTTCTTCAGGATTGGCAGGGGTGAGGCTGCCTATAGAGACTCCTTTAGTCCTCCTTGACTTTCAGAAACCAAAGGCTGGAGATGAAGTCTGCCGTGAAGTTTGTCACAGAAAGACCCAAATCCTGACACCCAGGAGAGGGTCTCACTGAGAAACACAGGCTGGCCTCAAGCCTGTGTGTGATCCTCCTGCCTCGGCTTCTCAAGTGCTGGAATTACAGGTATATGCCAGCACACAATCTTAGAAGCTCTCAATTTTAAGGAATTGGGTAGTTAGAGTTTCACAAACTCCTGACTTTTTGTTTTGATTCCTGGGTCATACTCTGCTTAGCATGTACATGTATGTATATGCTTGTGACTGACATGTACCTTCCAGCTCTCAGACCTGTCCCTTGTGGTCCAGAGAGATCTATATCACAGACTTTTTTCTCTCCCACTAGCACCTCCGGGAGCCTCTGTGCAATCCAGAAAATGACTCGGGTGCGTGTAGTGGACAACAGTGCCCTGGGGAACACCCCGTACCACCGGCCTCCGCGATGCATCCATGTCTACAACAAGAGTGGGGTGGGCAAGGTAGGCGACCAGATTCTGCTGGCCATCAAGGGACAGAAGAAGAAAGCACTCATTGTGGGACATCGCATGCCTGGCTCCCGAATGACCCCAAGGTTTGACTCTAACAACGTGGTCCTCATTGAGGACAATGGAAACCCTGTGGGGACCCGAATTAAAACACCTATCCCAACCAGCCTTCGCAAGAGGGAAGGCGAGTATTCCAAAGTGTTGGCCATAGCTCAGAACTTTGTGTGAGTGGCGTGCCTCTGAGCCATACAGCCATTCCCTTCACACCGGTGACAGTTGGAACAGAATAAATGTTTTAATGTGTGCTTCCTTCCTATGCTGTCTGAGCTGTGGTGGTGAGATGGGTAGCAACAGTTTAACGCTGACCTCTTCCCTAGACCCCAGGAGGGCCTGGGCTTTCTTTTCTAGCTGGCAGCCATGCAGTGATTCAGCAGCTGTTTCTCTTCACTTGTTGGTCTCTGTGGGGAATAAGGACTCCTCAGTGTCTTTAATAGAATCTTATCAACTATGAAGTATTGGCTGCTCGTCTAGAGGGCCAGGTTCTATTCCTAACACCCATATGGAGGCTCAAAACCTTCTGTAACTCCAGTTCTGAAAGATCTGATGCCCCTCCTCTGGCCTCAGTGGGGACTGCATGCATGTGGTACACAGACATACTTGCTGGCAGAACATTCTTACACATAAAATGGAAAAAGAAAATAAATTAAAAGGTACTATAGCCACTTATTAAAGTGTCCTCTTGGCCTCTGAGTCCCAGGCCCTGGGCTCAGACTGCCTGAATTTGAATCACACCTTCACCCTTTACCACCTCACAATGTTGGCAAGCTGTTTTGTTTTTCTGAGCCTCAGTGTCCCTACTCGATGCATGATGATGGTGCCCACTTAATGCCATTGATATGAAGATTAAAAGAGCCAGTGCCCGTGAATGCTCAGAGCACCCCTGGCAGCAGGAAGCACCCGACATGGGCCTTTCCTGTATTGTGACTGCACGCGCCAGTTCCAGAGCAAAGGTGAGTGCGGGCAGGTGTGGCTCTCGTCTTCCTGGCACCCAGAATTGCAAAGGGAGTCCACAGGAACCCAGTAATTCCTCTGCAAACGCAATGCCCGAGTGTAACAAGGGCTCATCCCGAAGAGTTAGACCTCCCGCAAGGTTAGTGCTGCCCTCAAGAAAGAGTAGCCCCAGCTGCATCTCAGTCAGCACTGTGATAGAAGCCCAAACAAGGGCTCCCTGAGAGGCTGGGTGTGGTGTGGACTGGGAAGGGGCTGGAGGGAGCCTCTCGGCATTGGGAATGTGTCAGACTTAGCGGTTGATGAGTGTTTATATCTGAATAATTAATGAGCTGTGCACTTGTCCTTTTCAAGGAGTGGGAATTTGCTAGGGAAAAGGAGCAGGTGCACAGGCCCTGGGGTAAGTACCAGGGCCTTTAACATGTAAGCCTTGGGGCCACTTCAGATCTGGACAGCAAGTCAGGAGAGGAGTGGACCTCCGTTTACTCAGGTCTCCTTGGCTGTGGGAAGGAGGCCTTTCTTATCCAAATACATTAAGATGCATGTGATGGGTATTTAGGAAAGAGGAGGGGAGGTGGGTTTGAAGAGGACGGGCTGCAGTAATTCTGTAGGATGCTACCCTGAGCTGGGGCGTAGTCAGAAGCAGATGCCTTGGCAATGGACTGATACGGTGGAGAAGACCAAAGGTGAATCTGGGGTTTCTGGATTCCAGTCATGGAGAACACTGAGCTAGGGTGCTACTGGGGAGGCCTGAGGGTCTACGAGGGAAGTGGTGGTAGGTGGGTAAGTGGCTGTGCCTCTGAGGTGCCAGGCAGGTAGCTGGGTGCAGTCTTAAGTTACAGCAGTGGTGCTCTGTGCAGATATCCCGGTTTGCACATATTCTTAATGCTTCTCTCAGCCTTGGGTTTGCAGGCATCCGTCCCGTTGCAGGTGAGGACAGTTTCAGCGGCCATGTGGGAAAACTGGGTCTTATCCAGACCTATGGCTTCCCATTCAGTCTTTCCCTAGCATCCCGACTCTTATTTTACTGTTGCTGAGGTCTCTAGCCTGACTCCCACCAGCTATGATCCTACAGGCTACCATTTTGATTTTCCTGCATACCCCAGGGCAGACCTGGGTGGTAGTGGGGTGTGGGCACTACCTACCTGGCTATGAGGAGGTTAAAAACTCAGCTTGTGTCTTCGAGCCCAAGTGTGTGCTGCTTACAGGCTTCCTCTGGCTAAGTTTGCTCCAAGGGATCCTGGGCATTTTGGGAGAATGTCCGTCTGTATTAATCCATCCCTTTGCACAGACTGGTGCAGTGACTGCCAGAGTGAATCGTAGGCTGGACCCCTGTGGTGGAGCGCTCAGCAACACCTTGCCGTTTGCCGGCACCTGGGACTTAGTAGCTCTTAATTCCCTGCTGTCTCTGCAGCTTGGAAGGCGGACTGGCGGGGTGGGGGTGGGGTAGCAGTGATTGTCCTCAGCCTGACACAACCTGCTTCCGTCTGGACCTTTGCTCTTGACAGGACAGCTTGCCCTGTGCTGCCTTCCAGCTGCTCTGGGCATTTGCTGGCTTAGCTGGAGTCAGACCCTCCCCTCCCTCTGCCCTGTCATGTGTTTTCAGGGTGCTGGCTCTGCGGCTGCACCCCCTCACCTGCTTCCTGGCTGTTGGGGCTCACCGGTGTCCCCTCTGTTCTCCTATGGACTTAAGCCCTCTCCAAGGTGCTCTGTGCTGACCACTGGAAGCCTGTGGTTTCCACACAGCGGAGTGGCCGGGGCCTGTGACGCAGGCCCTCGTAGCACCTGCCCAGAATAGCCCAGCCTTGTTGCCCTCCAGCTGTCCTATCACTTTGCAAAGGGAGATCTAATTTGTTACCTCTCCCCACCCCCAGTGCCCACAGCCAGTACTTTCTTTGCCCATGAAATATTTATAATCACAGATTATGTTTCCTCCGGAGTATAAGCTTGCTTTTGTTTATTCCCCTTCTGTGCCCCTAAGAAGCCGCCCCTGTCGGGCTGCAGCTCCTCATCCTTCAGAGTCACCGTGGACGACACTGCAGTGTCTTTCCCGGTGTCCTGCCCACCCACAGTGTGACTCTGCCACATGGCTGCAGGACTGTGGTGGGAAACCTGTCACCAGCTAGCTGCGCGTCTCTGGGCAAGCCACAGGCTCAGACTGAGGGGGAGATGCGGCTTAGGCTTTGATGACTGGTGCTCAGAGGCCTGGGTGATTGCTTCACTTCCCAGAGCCAGCCTGACACCCCAGCCACCTTGAGGACTGTGCCCATGGCTACAGAGCATGTGCAGAGGCTATTGTACCCTAACATTCCTGACGTCATCTTTCTCTGGCAGGAGTGTCAGGCGGTCTTTCCTGACACCCCCTATGCCACCGAGCCTGCCTCCTGTGTGGTCTCGGCTTCCCACTTAGTCTTTCTTGGCTTTCTTCTCCTCTCTTCTCCCTTATGGTCTTTGGTTAGAGAGCTTTAGTTTCTCTCGCTGTAGTACAAGCTGGCCCAGAGCTCCCTGTGTAGACCAGGATGTCCTTGATCTCATGGTCATCCACCTGCCTCAGCGTCACAAGTGCCGAGACTATAGATGTGTGGTCTACACCCACTTCAGGCCAAGAACAGTTTTGTTTGTTCTGTTTTTTGGTCTTTTTGGTTTTTTGAGGCAGGGTTTCTCTGTGTAACAGTCCTGGCTGTTCTGGAACTTGCTCTGTTAGACCAGGCTGGCCTCAAACTCACTGAGATCCACCTGCCTCTGCCTCCTGAGTGCTCAGATTAAAGGTGTGCGCCACCTCCGCCCGACTGAGAACGGTTTTTGGTGGGGATTGTACTATGCTGGAGTTAAATACGTAGCTGAAATTGTACTCATAGCTGAAATTTGTAATTCAGTCTTTAAGAAAGACAGACACTGGTATTTTGTTTTATCCTTTCCCTTCTGTTTGGCTGTGGACCATTGTTTTGTTCCCAGCCTTTGGGACACATTTTTGCTAAACGTTTTTATTAAATATGATTCCTTTCCAGTGCATCTGGCCCTCCTGTGGTGAACGGGACCATAGATTTGCTTAACATATTCAGGACAGTGATGACCCCTTGCCATGTGCTTGACAGTACAACAGGCTGTCTGTCTCCTCACCTCGTACACACTGAAGGCTTGCTGAAGATGAAAAAACTGATTTTGAGAATTTCACAAGAGCTCTTGCATAACTGGGATACCCTTGGGTATTATGAAACCTAGAGTGGGCGAGTGATTGAGGCCCAATATTTACATGCCAAACAGAGGCAACGCTTGCTCGCCCAGGATGGAGGGTTCAGCTGGCCACGTATTACCTGGTCCTGCCCGTTCCTGCTGCAGACTCTATTGACTTCACCTTGCTCCCTCAGCTGCCTGGCATAGGGAAGGAAGGGGGCTTCTCTTCCCGGCTACCTTAGAACTGGCTACCACACCTAGCCTGGTGGATCTGCAGCCTGAGAGTTCACTGTACTGCCCTTTCTAGCTTAACCCAGTGCCTTCCTGGCTAGCCATAGCTGATCCAGACAGGGGTGGGCATATCAGAGCCAGGGACCTGAGTATTATGTCCATAGTCATCACCAGTGTTGTGTTTGTAGCAAGCAGTAACTGAATTTGCTGCCAGTTCTGGTTCAGGGGTGTGGGGAAAGAACAATGTTTAAATTAAGGTTTTAGGGTTCTTTGTAGGCCTTCCTTCTCCAGGACAGGTCCCTGTAATTAAGGTAGTCTTGTCCCTCAGTTATCCCAGACAACCTTCGCTGCAGGCCTCCCATACAACTGGCATCCTTTGTATTTCATTTTTTGCAGAGAGTTTGTGTGTGCATGTATTTGTTTTGTTATGCATAAAAATTAATTTTAGTTGTATTTTCTTCATAGGGTTATATGTTTGTGTTTTTGAAAATATTTATTTTTGCTGGATGGTGGTGGCGCACGCCTTTAATCCCAGCACTCAGAAGTCAGAGGCAGGTGAATATCTGTGAGTTTGAGGCCAGCCTGGTCTACAAGAGCTAGTTCCAGGACAGGTTCCAAAGCTACAGAGAAACCCTGTCTCAAAAAAGCCCCCCCCAAAAAAATTATGTTTACTTTATGTTTGTTGGAGGCCAAAAGAGGTGTCTGATCCGCTGGAGCTGGAGTTACAGGTGGTTGTAAACCATGAACTGAACTCGAGTTCTTTGCGAGATCCCTTCACTGACAAAAACCCTGAGAGAGGCAACCTAAAGGGAGGAAAGACCTTTTGGTTGGTGTGGTTTGTAGTTTCGGGTCACAGTCAGATGCTGCACCATGAGATCTGTGATGAGGCCCAGCATGGATGCA